TGTGTAGTATATCTCACTGTGGTTTTAATTTGCAGTTTCCTAATAACTCATGATATGGAACATCTTTTCATACACTTATTTACTGTTTGTACCTCTTTTTAGTGTGTATTCAGATGTTTTGTCTATTTCAAAAATTGGGTTATTAGTCTTTTATTTTGAGATGGAGTCTAGCTCTGTTGCCCGGGCTGGAGTACAGTGGCACGATCTTGGCTCACTGGAACCTCTGCCTCCTGGGTTCAAGCGATTCTCCTGCTTCAGCCTCCTGAGTAGCTGGGACTACAGGCGTGTGCCACCATGCCAAGCTAATTTTTGTATTTTTAGTAGAGATGAGGTTTCACTATATTGGTCAGGCTTGTCTTGAATTCTTGACCTCATGATCCGCCTGCCTTGGCCTCCCAAATAGTCTTTTTGTTATTGAGAGTTCTTTATCAGAATATTTTGGAAATGTTTTCTCCTGGTTTGTTTTTTCATTTTCTTAATGGTGTCTTTTGAAGAGCAATAGTTTTTAATTTTGAAAGAAGTCCAGTGTATCAATTTTTAAAAATTACTCTTGCCTAACCCAAGGTCACAAAGATTTTTTCTATGTTTTCATTCCAGAAGCTTTATTGTTTTAGCTCTTGAAGTTAGGGCTATGATCCCTTTTTAATTATTTTTATACATAGCACAAGGTATGAATTGGGGTTCTTTTTTGGCACCTGGATATCCATTATTTTAACATCATTTTTGAGACTATCTTCTCTTTTGATTGAAAATTAGTTGGAGTGTTATATTGATCTTCATGTACACATACCAATGCTGCAATGTCTTGATGATTGTTTGCTTTGCAGTACATTTTTGAAATCAGGTAATCTAATCCTTCAACTTTGTTCTTTTAAAAATGTGTTTTAGCTGCCAGGTGCAGTGGCTCATGCCTGTAATCCCAGCACTTTGGGAGGCCGAGGCGGGCGGATCATGAGGTCAAGAGATCGAGACCATCCTGGCCATGGTGAAACCCCGTCTCTACTAAAAATACAAAAATTAGCTGGGCGTGGTAGCACGCGCCTGTGGTCCCAGCTACTCGGGAGGCTGAGGCAGAAGAATCGCTTGAACCAAGGTGGAGGTTGTAGTGAGCTGAGATTGCACCACTGCACTCCAGCCTGGTGACGGAGTAAGACTCCATCTCAAAAAAAAAAAGTGTTTTGGCTATTCTAGGCATTTTTCATTTTCTATATAAGCTTTAGGATTAGTTTACTAATTTCTACAACAAAAATCTGCCAGGATTTTGATAGGGATTAGGTTAAATCTTTACATTGATTTGGGGATAACTGACATTTTAACAACCCTGAGCCTTCTAATCTTTCCATTTATTTAGGTCTTCCTTAATTTCTCTTAGCATTGGCTTTTTTTAAATGCTTTTACTTTTTTTAGTTTTAGTGTTACAAGTATTATTATATTTATTCCCAAGTATTCTTTTTGATATGATTGTGAATAGAATTATTCTTTTTATTTCAATTTCATCACTGGAGTGCTCATTGCTAGTATATGGAAATACTGTACCACTGAATTTTGTATATTGAGCTTGTATTCTGAGATTATGCTAATTTACTTAATAGTTCTGGTATCTTTTATGTAGATTCCTTAGTTTTTGATTTGTAGGTCATATCATCTGTGAATATACAGTTTTACATCTTCCTTTCCAATCTGAATGCCTCTAAAAAGTGTTTTCCTTGCCTTGCTGCACTAGACCCCCGAGTTATAATGGTTGAGTAGAAATGGTGAGGCATAGAAACATCCTTGCCAGGTTCTTGATCTTAGAGAAAAGGCATTTTTTTTTTTTAAAACCATAACTATGATGTTAACTTTATCAGGCTGAGCAACTTCCCTTCTATCCTTACTTGGGTGAGAATTATTGTGAATGGATGTTGGGTTTTGTCAATGATCATGTGCTTTTTGTCATTTCTTCTATTAATATGGTATATTATATTAATTGATTTTTGAATGTTAAGCCAACCTTTCATTTCTGGAATAAACCCCATTTAGTTGTGGTATATAATCTTTTTTTATGTGTCATTGGATTTGATATGCTAATATTTTATAAGAAGTTTTGTACTGATGTTCATAAGGGACACTGCTTTGTTTTCTTTCTTTTTAAAATAGAGATAAGGTCTCACTATCTTAAACTCCTGGTCAAGGAGTCTTAACTCCTGGGGTCTTAAACTCCTGGGGTCAAGCAACCTCCCGCCTTAGCCTCCCTAAGTGCTGAGATTACAGGCATGAGCCACCACGGCTGGCTGGGATATTGATTTGTAGTTTTAATTCTTTGTGATATCCAATACACAAGACAAGACATCTTTGTCTGGCATTGATATTAGGGTGATACTGTCTTTATAAAGTGAGTTTGGAAGTATTTCCTCCTACTATTATTTTCTGGAAATACTTGGGAAACACTGGTATTTTTTTTCCCCTTAAATATTTGACAGAATTCACCAGTGAAGTCATCTGGACTTAGATTTTTCTTATGGGGAAGACTTTTAATAACAAATTCAGTATCTTTATTTGATATAGGCCTAGTCTGATTTTTCATTTCTTCTTGAGCTCAGATTACTGGCATGAGCCACTGTGTCCAGTCTATTTTCATATGTTCTTTTCATTCATTTAAAGATAATTTTGAATTTCCCTGTGGTTTTTTCTTTGATCCATGCATCTTAAGAGTGTGTTATTTAATTTCCAAATATTTTGGGGTTCCCAGATTTCTGCTGTTGATTTCTAATTTAATTCAATTTTCTTTTTTTCTTTTTTTGAGATGGAGTCTGGCTCTGTCGCCCAGGCTAGAGTGCAGTGGTGTGATCTTGGCTCACTGCAAACTCCACCTCCCCAGTTCAAGCGATTTTCCTGCCTCAGCCTCCCAAGTAGCTGCGATTACAGGTGCTCGTCACCACGCCCAGCCAATTTTTGTACTTTTAGTAGAGACGGGGTTTCACTGTGTTGGCCAGGCTGGTCTTGAACTCCTGACCTTGTGATCTGCCTGCCTTGGCCTTCCAAAGTGCTGGGATTACAAGCACTTTGAGCCACCGCACCTGGCCATTTAATTCAATTTTTTATCAGACAACGTATTTATATTATTGTAATAATTTGAATTTATCAAGTCTTATTTTATCTGCCTAATATATGGTCTAGAAAACTTCAGTGCATACCTGGATGAAAGAGTGTATATATATTTTTGTTGTTTTGTGGAGTGTGCCCTAAAAATGATTAAATCAAACATGTTGACCGTTAAGTCTTCTGTATCCTTGAGTGTCTGCAACTGTTCTATTAATTACTGAATGAGAAATGTTGAAATCTCTAACTATAATTGTTGACTTGTCTATTGCTTTCAAGTCTGGAAATTTTATCTAATGTATTTTATGGCTGTGTTGTTTGATACTTACAAATTTAAAATAATCACATCTGGCTACTGCATTTTAACATTGGTAAAGCAGGAATATTTGTTTCCTGGGTAAAACTTCTGTCTTTTGGCTGTTTTAGAACTGGACAATATTTATGCTTTTACTATTGATTCTGAAGAACCTATTTATAAAAAAACAGTTTTGGCCATATGATGAAACCCAGTTTGCCCTCTGATTGTGATACAGAATTTTTTCACTCTTTTTGGTTACACTTAAAATGTACTCAAATCTGTAAATAATTTCTTTATACATTTCTTCCATTACTTTTATGCTTTTAAGGTCTTTATTTGCATGCAGACATTAGTTTAATATGCATTTATTTCACCCCACCATGGAGAACCAGCATTTTACTGATTGGCCTTTTCCTGACACATTTAACATGCTATTTTTATCATATGCTACCCATTAGTATGCATAATTTTTCTGTTTTGGCATGAATACTATACTTGCTTTACTATGGCTTCATATAGTCCATCTCCCCTGTATCCCACTGTACCTTTGTTTCTTTTCATAACTTACTGCTATTCTGTGTCTTTATTATGCCATGTGAGCTTTAAAACTAGCTTACTGAGTGGGTGCAATGGCTCACACCTGTAATCCCAGCACTTTGGGAGGCCAATGTGGGCAGATCACGGGGTCAAGAGATCGAGACCATCCTTGCCAACATGGTGAAACCCCATCTCTACTAAAAATACAAAAATTAGCTGCACGTGGTGGTGCCTGCCTATTGTCCCAGCTACTCGGGAGGCAGAGGCAGGAGAATTGTTTGAACCCGGGAGGCGGAGGTTGCAGTGAGCCGAGATTGGGCCACTGCACTCCAGCCTGGCCCTGGCGACAGAGTGAGACTGTCTCAAAAAAAAAAAAAGGTATGTTACATTAATGAGAAAGATTAATCGAGGCCTTTAGAGAAGCTTGACTAAGAAAGAATTGGAGGAATTGCAAAAGGAGCTACTAGAAGATGATAGAAAAAACCAGCAAATTATAAAGTTGCTGAAATGATCCAAGCAGTCGAATTCTTGGGTAATTAAATTTCTTAACATGGTCCCTATATGGAATTATGCCCTGACTAGTAGAAACAACATGTAGATGTTACTTCCTGCACAAAACCATGTGTAATAAAGATTTGTTTTAAACATTATCATCTTTATTATTTGAAGGCATTTCAGTCATTTTAGCCTCCCCTTTATCTACAGAGTTTATCAGTATCACTAAAATAGCAGTTTGATTGCTCAGTGATTTTGGTTTCCAGTGAAAGACGAGACTTGTTAAAGGAAATGGACTTGAGAAGATTCTATCAGGAAATGAGTGAAGATTGCTGGAAAAAATATTCTTTTAACTGAAGTTGGTTAAGTTATATTTTTATGCTATTCAAAAATGGAAAAAATAGAAAAGGATTTTGTAAGGGGGTTTTAATACTCTGGACATGCGCATTTCTGTTAAAAAGTTCTATAAGACATAGGGAAACTCACTCACCCTTCCTGGAATTGTGCTTGGGCAGATTCCTCCGCAACAAGAGTCTCATACTCCTCAGCAGCAAACCGGTCCCAGTCAGAGGGCTCAGGACCATCATTCTCAACATCCTGATTGGAAAGAAGACAGCCACGAGAAACAAAAATAATCAAAAACAAAGAACTGGAGATAAATAATCACAAATGTATACTGCTGAAAAAATCCTACCTGAAAAATATTTCAACAGGTTTAAAAGAGGTGCTAAGGTAACACTCCTATGGTAATTTTCTACACGTCAAATGGCAAAATTAGAACTGTTTAGCTGCTAGATTTTTTAGGTATAGATACCTTTTTTTTTTTTTCTGAGATGGAGTCTCACTCTGTTGCTCAGGCTGGAGTGTACTGGCAAGATCTCGGCTCACTGCAGCCTCCGCCTCCTGGGTTCAAGCAATTCTTTTGCCTCAGCCTCCCAGGTAGCTGAGATATAGGCGAGTGTCACCATGTCCAGCTAATTTTCGTATTTTGTAGAGATGGGGTTTTGTCATGTTGGCCAGGCTGGTCTCAAACTCCTGACCTCAGGTGTCCGCCCACCTCAGCCTCCCAAAGTGCTGGGTTTACAAGCATGAGCCACCGTGCTTGGCTGATTCCAACTTTTTTTTTTTTTTTTTTTTTAAGAGACAGGGTCTCACTCTGTCGCCCAGTCTGGAGTGCAGTGGTGTAATAATAGCTTACTGCCAGCCTCAAAATCTGGGATCAAGTGATTCTCCTGGCTCAGCCTACTGAGTAGCTGAGACTACAGGTATGCCACCATGCCCTGCTAATTTTTAAATTTTTTTGTAGACACAGGGTCTCGCTATGTTGCTCAGGCTGCTCTCGAACCCCTGGCCTCAAGTGATCCTCCTGTCTTAGCGTCCTAAGTAGCTGGGATTACAAGCATAAGGCACAGCATCTGGTAAGTCTAGATTCTTTAACCTTGAAATTAGAGACGTTTCTCTGGTCCCCTCTCCTCTGGCACTGTGCACAGCAGCCACCTGGAGTGACTTGTAGTTTGTACAGGCCCGCCTGAAATGTACCTTCCCCAAACCCCCATTCTCTGGCAAATTTTTGTTGTTTAAAAGCCAACTCAGATACCATGCTGTCTGTGATATCTTTCTGGCAACAGCCCTTCTCTCTATACACTTCCTTTTTTCTAATGTAGATGTTTTGGTTGCCACCTTTGCTCTTATATCTCTGTCATCTTCATATATACAGTATCTCTTCAATACAATGCCCAGAATTTATCAAGCACTTTCTGGCTAATAATGTTCTTTGTAGATCAGAACAAATATCAGTAATTATACCATTTATAAAGAAAAGTAAAATTTAAAGGTAAAAATTTTACAGCAAAAATGGTATCACAAAGAAAATAAGTGAAGAGGGAAAAGACCACCCAATTTCATGAGTTTTCTTGAATTGTATGTTTCAGATAAACTCTTTCCAAGCTAACCATGAGTTAGTGCTGCTGTAGGGTCTAGAGTTAGTTATGCCAAGAATAATGTTAAGTTCCTAAACAATGACCACTGTTAGTTACTATACTTAATTCATTTTAAGACCCCATCTCTGTCTTTTAACATTTATGAACTTGCAATGCATCACAGGCTTACAACTGGCAATATTTGGGGTTTTGTTTTTGCTTAGAGAAATATAAAGCAATGGAGCATGTTAAATTCAATGAAATAGACTTTAAACCAGCAATAATGCAACTTGATATGTGGAGATCGGCTGCAGAGTATTTGTTTTTAGAAGGTAATCTTCATATTCTTATTACTATTTAGGTCAAACAGTTATGGAACATGTAGAAGAAAAAAGACTGCAGAAGCTTCTTATAGTTTATTGTTACTCAACTGAAATAGTCTATTCTTAACAAAATTTTTACTTCTTAGAGGAATGGTAAAAACAAGGAGTGATATTCCAATTTTTATTATTTATTTATTTTTTTAATTGTATGTAACGTAAGGGCAGTGGAGATCTATTTTTATTTTTAACATGGATCATATATCCAGAATTTTCTGAGGGGCCACACGTTTTTGTGTCTAGGGAATGGTATTCATCTTTATTCAGATGTAGAATGATATTCAAAACTGATAGCCATGTATAGCAGCAATCATTAACACTTAAAATAGTATTATATTATTCTAAGGTTTTCTATCATGGAGAACTTCTAGGTTTCACTGCAATGGGGTAAGCTATTTATCATGGAATCCTGAAAGTGAATGGTAAAACTGAATCAAGGCCAATATAGTTTCTAATACAGATGTGCCTATTGTTTTTTTTTCTTTTTGAGATGGAGTCTCTCTCTCTCACCTAGCCTGGAGTGCAGTGGCACGATCTTGGCTCGCTGCAACCTCCACATCCTGGGTTCAAGCGACTCTCCTGCCCTAGCCTCCTGAGTAGCAGGGACTACAGGCACACGCCACCATGCCCAGCTAATTTTTTTTGTAGAGACGGGGTTTCACCATGTTGGCAAGCATGGTCTCGATCTCCTGACCTCGTGGTCCACCTGCCTCAGCCTCCCCAAGTGCTGGGATTACAGGTGTGAGCCACTGTGCCTGGCCCTGTTGATATATTTTTAAAAGTTAGAAGGACAATTTTTTTTCAAAACTACTTGTTTGTAACAAGTTTCCAGTGTGTGTATCAGCAGATAAGCTATACAGTTCACTCCATGGAAAGAGCTTAGGCAGATGCAGGTTACCTAAACCTGATGATTAGCTGTGAAGAGACATGTGCCCTAGGTCCTTTGTTGCCTCTTTTTAGTGTTTAATGAAATGTTGTAAATGTTTTCTCTTTACTGAAATTCCAGCATGTAGACACCATTTTAATATGTAGCACACATAGCCCCTGATACTGCAGCCCTCAAATAAAAGTTAAAATTATATTAATACCTTCTGGACCGCAAAGGGATCTCTCTGTTCATGGTCTAAATATTTCTCCAGATTAAAGAAAGTGTCATAGAAGATGTGAGCCATTCTGCATCTCTTCAGATCTCTTAGAGTTATTTTGCCTACATAAAAATAAACAAATCTGGTAAATTTCATCAAGAACTATTTTGGCAAGAGAAAGAAAACTTTCACTGATGTCTAAAGTATAGATATATGTTTATTATAAAAGTCCTATTTTCAAAATAAAAAAATTTAATTGAGGTAAAATTCACTAACAAATTCACCATTTAAACAAATGTAAGTGCACAATTTAGTGGCTTTTAGTATATTCACAATGTTGTACAACCATTACCACTTTCTAGTTCTGTAACAATATCATCACCCCAAAAGGAAACTGTGCCCATCAAGCAGTTCCTTCCCATCTCTCCTCATGTGTTTTCTGTATCTAAGGAAAAATCCTCTTTCATCCCCCAAACCCCGCTTTCATTTTCTTTTTAAAAAAGAGATGGGGTCTTGCTGTGTGGCCCAGGCTGGAGTGCAGTGGCTACTCACATGCACAATCATAACGCAATCCTCCCAGCTCAGCCTCTGTAGCTGGGACTACAGGCACACACCACTGTGCCCGGTGTAAAATCCTTTTTCTTTTTTTTGAGATGGGATTTCATCATGTTGGCCAGGATGGTCTTCATCTCCTGTCCTTGTGATCGGTCTGCCTCAGCCTCCCAGTGTTGATTACAGGCGTGAGCCACTGCACCCGGCCTTAAATTCCTATTTCTTAAATAGTAGACTCACCATCAATTGCTACACTAAGTCTGGGCATTGTGGCTCATGCCTGTAACCCCAGCACTTTGGGAGGCTGAGGCAGGTGGATCACCTGATGTCATAAGTTCAAGACCAGCCTGGTCAACATGGTGAAATCCCGTCTCTACTAAAAATACATAAATTAGCTGGGCATGGTGACAGACTCCTGTAATCCCAGCTACTTGGGAAGCTGAGGCAGAAGAATCACTTGAATCCAGGAGATGGAGGTTGCAGTGAGCTGAGATTGTACCACAGCACTCCAGCCTGGGTGACAAAGCGAGGCTACATCTCAAAAGAAAAAAAAACAAAAACGGCTACGCTAATAGTCAAGGACAAACTTTAAACACCTCTGTACTGGGAAGCCTGGTTAGAAGACTCTGAAAAGTTAATTTAGGACAATCTAGGATTCTGTAACACCCCCCCCCTCCGATAAATAGGTGAACAGTGCAAATGTCCCATTGCTTGGTCTCACCATCAGTAGCTGGCTTCACTAGGTCAAGCATCTGGCATAGTAAATCATGGAATGGCAAGGGCTCTATTCCCATGGTTTCCATCCGTTCACACTGCTCCTCATAGAAGTACTCCAGCTCATACATGGAGAGTATGCCATCCCCATCCACATCCATGCAGCGGAACCAATACTCAATGCTAGGCGATAAGGACATTCATTATCATGGGCCAGGTAAAGATCTTTTATTCATCCAGATTTACTATGTTTCTTTTAAAAGAAAAGTTACATATTATGTACACTTCAGGGTTACATATAGTTTTACCAAGTTTGTTAGAAAAAATGGCATACCCCTTCTTCCCTTTATTTTTTTACCTAGAACCAACCATGTTCAACACCTGATTATTTTGCTTTTTACCTTCCTATTTTCAGATAACATGCCTGTATCACTGCTTTCTTGTATTTGTTTTAAGAACTGTTTAAGAACCGGGCATGGTGGCTCATGCCTGTAATCCCAGCACTTTGGGAGACTGAGTTGGGCAGATGACTTGAGGTTCAGGAGTTTGAGATAAGCCTAGCTAACATGATGAAACCCTGTCTCTACTAAAATACAAAAAATTAGCTGGGCATGGTGGTGCATGCCAGTAGTCCCAGCTGCTTGGGAGGCTGAGGTGGGAGTATTGTTTGAGTCCGGGAGGTGGAGGGTGCAGTGAGCCAACATTACGCCACTGTACTCCAGCCTGGGCGAAAGAATGAGACTCCCTCCTCAAAAAAAAAAAAAAAAAACAACCCAAAGAAACCAAAAACAAAACCCAAAAAACCAGTGTATTGATTTCACATTACGAAAGATGAACTTTAGTTCTTTTACAATTTCTCACCACTTTGCCTACCTGCCCTTCTTATCCTCTTAATAAACTTGCTCAACATTTAGAATTTATAACTTTATATTTTTCTTTTATCTCTTATTTGCTTAGTTTTCTGTGTACTTGTTACTAATTCAACCCCTAAATCTCTGCTGGTTGTCTAAATCCACACTCCGTCCCATGAGGTGCTCTGTCAGCTGCATATTCTTGATGAAGTCTTCCTTGGTTCCTTCTGACCTACTCTAATCTGGGCTACTTGGACTCTAGGCCTGGCTCACAGTTTCATCTAGGGATTCCTTTCGCCTTTCTCCTGTTTCTTATTTCTCACATTTTCCTCATTCTTTGTTTTGTGTCCTTATTATTTTGTTACTCTGTGCATTCTCCGGTAGTCTATTAAATGAGGGAGCATGGCAGGTATATTTTCTGAGATCTCGGATCTTTAAAAATGGCTTTTGTCTATCCTCTAATATGGTTGGTATTTTGGCTGGTTATAGAATTAGAGGTTGGTGGTATTTTGCCTGCAGATTTTTTTTTTTTCACTTTAGAAATGGGGTCTCACTCTGCTGCCCAGGCTGGAGTGTAGAGGCACAACATGACTCAATGCAGTCTTGAACTCATGGACTCAAGCAATCTTCCCAAGTAGCTGGAACTACAGGTGCAGGCCATGGCTAATTTTTTTTTTTAAATCCAGATGGAGTCTCACTCTATCACTTTATTGCCCAGACTGGAGTAAACTGGTGCAATCTCCACACTGCAACCTCTGCCTCCCCGGTTCGAGCAAGTCTCCTGCCTCAGCTTCCCAAGTAGCTGAAATGACAGGTGCCCGCCACCACGCCCAGCTAATTTTTGTGTTTTTTAGTAGGGATGGGGTTCACCATATTGACCAGGTTGGTGTCGAATTTCTGACCTTAGGCAATCCACCCAGCTTGGCCTCCCAAAGTGCTGGGATTACAGGCATGAGCCACCACACCCAACCTGGCTAATTTTTAATTAAAAAAAATAATTTTTTTTTTTTGTAGACACAGGGTCTCACTACATTGCCCAGGCTGGTCTCGAACTCCTGGTCTCAAGGGATCCTCCTGTCTTGGCCTCCCAAAGTGCTGGGATTATAGGTGTGAGCTACTGTGCCTGGCCTTTTCCTTCATACTTTTTAAAAGTATCGATCCATATTGTCTGTCAGTATTGATGAGAAGTCTAAAGCTTTATTGGTATCTATTCCTTTGACTATAACCCATTTTGTTTTTTTCCTCTTAGAAGCCTGCAGAGGTTTCTCTGAGTTTTTGGTAGTTTGAAATATCATGATGGAGTGCCTTGGTTGAGATGTAACTCATCTATTTGGCTGGGCTTTTATGAGAACCTATTCAGTTTGGAAACTACTACCCCTCAGTCTTTGAAAATTTTCACATCTCTTCCCTGCCCTTTTTTTTTTTTTTAAAACTGTTATTCAGATCTACATAGCCCAGTATAGTATAGCTACTAGCCACATGTGGCCTTTTGAGCATTTGAAATGTGGCTAATCAAATTTGATGTTTTCTCAGTACAAATACAAAACAGATATATAACTACATTAATTTTACCTATTTTTAAATTTTTCCATTGTGGCTAAATTTTAATCCTATGTGACTTGTACCTTATTTCAATTTCTATTAAATTTTTTTGAACTGGTTCTCCAATTTTCATATCTTGTCTTTATTTTCTATTGCTTCATCTTTTTTTGGGGAGGGGGTTTCTTCCTGGGAGGATTACACAGCTTTA